TGTTTATCATGCCTCTCCTTGTCTTTTGCATTCTCCCAATCAAGAATAAGATGGTGATCGAGTTCTTYCCATAATCCTTCTAGGGTTGCAAAATATGTTGCAACTGTCATGTCTCCTTGTCTCAATGCAACGATGTCTTGGTTCAGCCTATAAATTCTGGCATTGTTCTTTCTCTGTCCATAAGTTTTTGAGACTTTCTCCCAAATCTTAGTAGCAGTCGAAAAGTGTTGAACAGTCCTGGCCACTCTTGAAGTCATCGAAGCAAGCAGCCAGGACATGACAGTAGCATTTTCCCTACGCCATACTGCATACTCTGCACTACCCACTGCAGGTTCCTTCTTCTGTCCATCTAGATAACCCGTAAGATCCCGGGAAGTAATGAAGAGCATGGCTGAAACAGACCATTCTCTGAAATTATATTCATCTAACAACACACTGGTGATCTGCAAGCCATGCAGATTTGGATTTTCCAGATTAGGAGACCTCCCATCAGGTCTATTATCCCTAGAAGACACTTCTCCCGATATTGAAGGCATCTTGTTCCTCTTACAGTGATCACAATTGAAAAACTCAGTACAAAGAGCACAATTTCAGACTTACCGAAGCTGTTGCAGGCCTGAAAAACCCTTGTAACAGAACTGAAACCAAGAACACTCCACTTCTGTACAGTGCTGAACTCTTCTGGACTGGACTGGACTTTCATTTCTGCAGTAGTAGACTGTGACCAACTGTACGAACCGAACTAGGACTGTCGAAGTCAGCCCTTCCACCTAGATCTGTTCCACACAGATCTCTCTTAGCAGCCGAATGGCTACTACTTGCTGTAAGGTGTCTAGTAGGGCATCGATTTCTGGAACAAACTCCCCTTGGGCCCTACAACCAAGGGAAACCCTAGACAGATCTTGCTGCTCTACGGTCAGCCCTAGGGTTTCTGCACAGTGACCAAGACAGAAAAGAGAAGGGAAGAGAAAGGGAAAAAGAAGGGTCAAAAGGTTGCGGCTGTAATCAGACAAACGAACCTTGCTCTGATACCATGTTTGCTGGATTATAGCAGTCGAAGAAGAGGGAGAAGAAGAAAAAGAGAAGAGCATCTGAGAGAGGCGGCGTAAAACCTTCAGCCAGCCCAACAAGTTTATATAGATGATTATAAAATAATTACATGAACAGACTAGAATGCCCATGATTAGTGATGGGACACCTAGACAAATAAAACAATTAAAACATTAAACATGTTTGGGCCCAATAACTAAGAACATAAGACACAAATAAGACTAACTTAAACACTAATAACAGCCGAACCAACACCTCCCACCCAAAGAGATGTAATTTTTCTTCCACAGCTAATCTCTTTTCAAACTTCTATATAACTGGGGTCCAGAACCTACTGTCCCTAGGGTTTGCCCTTAACGGCAGCCCTAAATAGGACAAAGGCCATGTAGAAATGGAGCACTAAAGACAATTTCCAATATCTTCAACCTCCTCAAAGTCCAGATTGACTCTAGCAGTGCAGCTCTTTTCTAAATTGATTTTCAAATTGGACACTCCTTCAAAGGCTTTAATCAATTCTTTCAAGTTTCCCACCTTCTCACTAAAACCACCACCCACAGAAGATCATCAAGTCATCCGCAAACTGCAAATGAGTTGCTAGAATTTGGTGCCTATTCTCCACCCCTTTATCACATCTTTCTCATCAGCCCTTGTGATAATTCGACTGAACACATCAACTACCAAGGTAAAGAGAAAAGGTGAAAGTGGATCCCCTTGTCTAATACCCCTACTAGCTGGAGAAAAATCCCTTACCGCCCCATTTACTAAGATGGAGTAGTGACAAGAGCTGACACAACCAAACATTCAACCACACCATCTTTCCCCAAACCCACACTTCCTCAAAACCTCTACTAGGAACTGCCAGTCCACCAAATCATAGGCTTTCTCAAGATCGAGCTTACATACAAAAACTCTTTGCTTAGACCTCTTCATCTCCTCCATAAATTCGTTGGCAACTAGGATATGATCAATTATTTGTCGTCCTTGGATGAATGCGCCTTGGGCCTGACTAATAATGGAGGGAAGGATTTCTTTAATCCTCAAAGACAGCACCATCTTTCTCCTTGGGCCTGATTATTGTAGAATTTTTCAACCAATAATTCATCCAGATATAGATGTGCTTTAATCATCAAATGAAACTTTCATTATACACTGCTGTTGCTATGAATACCAATGCTTGACCTCAGGTTTCTTATGAAACAACTTAAAATTGGTTCCACCAAGGAAGGGATGAGAATGGTAAACTTTCATTATACTCTAATAGTTAAGAAATGCAAGAACTCTTCATGAAATAAATGAAGTTCATTTTTTCATACAACATATCCCAACTACATGGATTGGAAATAGATGCAGATGCGTTAACCTACCAAAGATCCCAGATTTATTATAGTTAAGTTGCTATGAAAGAGATCAGTGAATTAATCCATGAAAAAGCAAACACAAAATAAACAATGAATAATAAACCTCTAAAACATTGCCATGCAACCTGAAAATGATATTTAAGATGCATCACATTCACGACAAAAGAATATCTTCCCTTTCATAATCTTAGTGACTAAAAACATGAGTTAAGGTTTTCACCCAAGATTGAATGACAGTGCCTTTATACATAAAAAATAATTAAGAAAAATTACCATTCAAGAATAGGGTCCTTGTATCTGGATGAGAAGCCACACACTGCAAATAAATAAATATACATAAATTTCATTGGTAAAATGAACAGGACAGGAAAATAACAACATCCATAAAACCATTTCAAAGATTCTAAGGAATCAATTCAAACTGAAATTAGGATTAACTTGAAAATTTGCACAAACATCAAATATAAACACAATAGACCTAGTAACCATGCAAAATCCTTGTATACAGGGCTTCAGCACTTTATTTTTTCTGATCATAAGGTCAGATATGTTGTATGGAGCAGACGTTGGGAAGGTAAGAAACAGCGTGCCTAAAAAATGAGTGGAAGAAATGTGAATGCTTAGATGGCTGAGTGGTAAAACTAAGAAAGGACAGGGTTAGAACTGGAAGTCATGTAAATGAACCTAGAAGTAGGTTCAATAGGTGAAAAGCGAGAGAAAGTAGATTGAGATAGTTTGATCATGTGCATAGGAGACCATCTACAACACTTGTTAGGAAAAAATGATCTGTTATAAGTTGAAGGGGGTAGAAGAGCTAGGGGAAAATGATCTGGCCAGCTACTGTTACATGTGCAAATCTGAAGAGGAAACTGCTTTCCACTTATTTGTCTCTTGTCAACTAGCAAACTTTATTTGGAGATTTTATTTCTTCCTGTTTGGGTTACCCATCTTCCAACCTTCCTCAGCAGCTGAAATCTTCTCAGGTTGGCCAAAATTCAGAGGAAACAAGAGAGCAAAAATTATTTGGAGCTGTATCCCCTTTGCAGTGTGCTGATCTCTGTGGGGGGAGAGGAACAGGAGGCTATTTGAAGGAAAAAAAAGAAACACCGAAGTGCTTGTGGCTTCAGTTGGCAACTCATAACTAATTGGGTTCTTCCCCTTCAAGAGTTTGAGCATTTTAGCTATTCATATTTTGCAGAGAATTTTTGAGACATTCTTGAGATTCGAGCTTGTAATGTGCATCAGTTTAGTCTTGTCTGAAGTGTTTTGTTGTTTGCTTGTATTGGGGCTTATGGATGCTTGCTTGTAATGGGGTGTCATCTTAACACCCAAACAGTTTGTACCCATTTTTATTTCAATAATTTTTTTCTTATTTACCTTTCAAAAAGAAAAAGAGCTAGGGGCAAACCGAAAAGGATTTGTGTGGAAGTTATAAGAAATGATGTAAACACCCATAATTTAACAATGGATATGGCACTGAACAAAACAGGATGGTGAAACAGGATTCATGTAGCCAATCCCATATAGTTGGGACAAGGCTTAGATGATGATGATGATGATGAAGGTCCAATTCTGCCCAAAATCAAGGCTTCGTTTTTTTGGTTGGGAAAGAAAGTGGTGAAACTATCTCTCACTTATTAATCTCCTACCCCAAGTGTCCCTACACTTCTAGCATTTTTTTGGTGGAATACACTTCTAGCATTTGGGGACATATTTTTTCCCTCTTTGGCTGCAGGTGGGTATCACCTGGGAACGTGGTTTTGTCATTTGAAGCATCCCTCTTCAACCTCCTAGAAGAAGGGTAAAAATTTTATGGAAATGAATTAGAGTTGCAACATTGTGGGCTGTTTAGGACAAAATGCAAAACAAGGTTTAAGGAAGAATACAACACAAAAGAGGCTCTAATCGAAAATAGCATGGTAAGGGTGGTATACATTGGGTGAAGACCTTGACATTTTTTACTCGTAGGGCCTATTCGTTTCCACTTAACTCTTATCTCTTAAGAGGAATCTTACAACTTTAAGAGGAAAATGGGTTTTCGTTTCCTCTTATCTCGTATCTCTTAAAGAGGAAGATTACAACTTTTTGTTTTCCAATGATACCCCAAAAACACAAACAAAAATTCTCATATATGGGGTTGAAATGAACATTTGACAATTTTCAGAACTAAGAATTCAGAACAACATTCTTTGCATTCAGAGTTCAGAGGAAAGAAAAGTTCACCAATACCAATATACCTCTTAATGTAATTATTGCACTTTCAGATGTCAGACATCAGAGCAAACAAACATGCCCTTTGTTACAGAAGAAAAACAGTCCTCTGAAATTAACAGACAAATTAAAAACACTCTAAAAGATGATTGAGAACAGCAGAAAGAAGAAACAAGAAGAGAGAAGAAGAAGAAGAAGAAGAAGAAGAAGAAGAAGAAGAAGAAGAAGAAGAAGGTGGCAGCTGATAGGGTTCAGAGAGAGATTTTCGAATGTTATCTCCTCTTACACCCTAATTCCCTTTCATTAACCTTAATTTTTCAGTAATTACAGAGAGGCCCCTTAACTGGGCGAATAAGCTTAAGTAAACATAACATAATTAAGGCCCAATCTGAAGCCCATTATCAGCATAGAACATAAATAAAAGAATATTATTCTCTCTACAGTTACGATCCATTTGTACAACATTGGTAGTATGGGATGCTAATGTGAGAGATCCCACATCGGTAGTATGGGATGCTGCTGTGGGGTATATATGTGCCTGGGTTCCCTCCCTATAACAGCTAGCTTTTAAGGCGAGTTCTCCTAAAGCACGTATCACCCTTACACTACAAATGATATTTTGAGAGATTGATCCATGGTAGCAAATTCTATAACAAGGATGCCAATCATCCTCTTTGGACACTTTCAAATGCATCATAATCCAAGAAGATCAGGTATAGCAGGGGTTTTCAAGGATCACAATGGCAGATTTTGGCACTCTACTCATGAACAAGTGGTCAAGGAAACATGGAGTGAATAGAAATAATTTATTTTGGGCTCAATGTTAGTTGGGTGCAGGAGCGGAGCCAAGTATATTGGTGGGGGGTCCTTGCCCCCCCCCCCCAAACTTTTTGTTAAAACTGTTATTTATATATGGTTATTAAGAGGAGGCTGGGTCAAAACATAATAAAGTGGGTCTTTGGACCCCCAAAACTTGAATTAAAATGTAATGGATCACTCTCTAACGCTCCTCCAACTCTCAAAATTAAAAAAAAAATGTTTATTTTCTCTTTAAAAAAACATGCAATAGACCCAAACCTTCTCAGTCCATTTTTCCCCAAACCCTACTTCTTCTACTCCCTATCTCATTTTCTTGTTTAACTTTCCCCCTCCCCCCAAAAGAAAATTCCTGGCTCCGCCACTGATTGGGTGGTGGGATTCTTTGTTGTAATGGGTGTTATTCSTAACAACTTCTTGTTGTACTTCTCTCTTTTTAAGATTTAATAAAATTCTTTGAGTTGCTTATCAAAAAAAAAAGGAAACTCAGTTAGAACATTACTGTCATCCCCAAACCGTCTAAAGCTGGGAAAATTATTGAGCTACAAGGGCATAACATTGGAGGGAGAGTTTCAAATTACTGCTAGCTGCCTAAGTATAACAACCAGGGATCCTGGCAGTATAGACACATTTTGAGGGAGGTGAAACAGCTTGTTCAAGAACTAAGAGCTGAGTTGCAATATATACAAAGAACACCAAATACTATGGCAGTTATCTTGGAAAGAAAGGGGTTTCCAGGGAGGAGCTGTATTGAGGAGTTACCAGTAGAAATTTTTGAGTTTGGGTCTGTATAAAGGAATGTACCAGACTATAATATAAATCAGGATATCTAAGATCTTTGGGGGTGCTTGGCATATTTCCCCTGTACATACATATTCTTTATTAACAACTAATAAGGAAAAGGTCGAATATACAAGCATCCATTGTACAACCTTTTTAAGGTCATAATAAGAAGCATCATAACAGAGATTGTTTTAGAATTGTGACCAAAACATGCCTTCTGAGTCTTGTTCTTGTGAGAACTTCAATGTGCTTGGTTATTGATCAAAAAATAGAAAAGAATGTTTCTGTGTTTTTATGGAAGTCATCAGATGTCTTCACGTTTGTTCTCCTCCACTTAATGGTATTCTTATATCAGTAAAAAGGAAAGGAAAGGAGACTACCAAACTCTGGAAATTCAACAACATTAGAATAGATTTTCCCCATCACATTAAAGGTATTTTCTCATGAAAGGTGACAGAGATTTTATTACAAAAAGTATGCAAGAAGTATATATAAAAGAAAAGAAAAAATAAGAAAGAGAAACCAAAGAAGAAAACAGAAGCCCTGATGAATGGGGCACCAGACTTCTATACAACATATGCAATTCAGCCTGATGAACAAAAATAACAACCCCAACCATAATTATGAAAAATAATGCACAGAAACAAAAACAGCATGCTACCAGCTAAAGGTGCATCATGGACTGGGTTAGCCCAAACCAACCACATCCAAAGGTCGATATGATGAGGCAAGAAAAAAATGAAAAAAAGAAAAAAAGGTGTGGATGTATTCTGTTTTGCATGTTTTCCTTGTAGTAGGATCCCAAATTGTTGTTTTGGGTAGCTTTGTTGACAGTTTGGAACCAGGGGTATTTTCGTCATTTTATAAATCAGACTTTTTGTCAAGGGCAGTTGGGTGCATATCTGTTGGGTTTTGGTCTCTTGGGTCTCTTTGTAACAAAAGTTATCTTTTGAGGGCTCATTTGAAGTTAGTTTTGTTCTTAAGGAGTTGCTTGTGAGAGGGAAACATCCTAGGGGCTTATGTGTAAATATTTTAACTAGCTTGTCCAGCAAGCCAATGGGTCTTATAAAAGAGAAGGGGGATGTTTCCATAGGGGTCTTTTTTGGTTCTTTCTCTCTTGTTTGAGCTGTTGCTCAGCCCCAGCTAGGGTTTTCAAGCATTGGGAGCTTGGGTTTTGAGGAATCGACCTATTTTGGCACCTTCCAATCCCTCCATCGCTGAGTGCCCACACGGGAGGCCAATTTGCTGCCATTGTTACTGTAACGGAACTGTTCCAGGAGGAGTTTTACTTCAGGTTCAGGTCTGAAATCCCTAAAATCCAACCTATTTTGTTGTTTTCAGCTTGGTATTTCTTGTGCTTATTGCAATATACTTGAGGCACTGCATGTAATTGGCCTTTTTGTTCACATCAAGTGGTATCAGAGCAAGTTCTTTCCTTGGGTTTGCTTCAAAGTTCATCTCCTTCTTGTGTTTTTCTATATTATCATGGCTGCAAGGGGTGAACAT